CCCGTCGGATTATGCGACTGTGCGGCCGGGGCACGATGCCGTTTTTTCTCATAATCCTGCAACATTTGCATAATTTGGATTCCCCGTGTTTTGTCACGGTTTTTTTCCCCAATTATTCACAAAACAATAATTATTTAACTTAACTGCCTCGCCATGTGACTAAAGGGAAGTAATGACAGTAATTTTTATATAATAATTAAGTCTCATTTAAGTGATAAGTTTGTTATTTCCCTTGTAAGAAGATCTTGGTTAAGTTAATGGTTTATGGGTTAGGGATTTTGTTCCTTGAGCATGTTCAATTTTTCAATCCATCAAAAGTTGTTCTCATGTCTGCTGATGTTTCATGTGTGACCGGTGTCCCTGGTTTTACTGATGTGCCAGCATCACAGGGTTTTGTGTCTTTCCTCCAACGTCTACAGCTGAAAGCTACACAGATTAGAGACAATATTCTGTTGTTGTTTTTTTCTGACTCATGTGTATTGTTTTCTTTTTTAATACACAACAAATTACTGATACTGATATGTTCTGTTTTCAATTTTTCTGTACATATAACTTGAAAATTCTTGTTGAAAAAATGCAAAACATGTTGCGAAGGGCGTTACGGTAACTTGCATAATTTTTGCATAATTTTGCATTTTTCTTGCCTAATTTGGCCATCTAAATTTGCATAGAGCTAATTCTGCGGGGACAGCCTTAAGGCCGTGATCAATTATACATCCCAGAACTAGTCAGAATGAGATACATCATGTTTAGAAACTGTGGTCCTTGTGTTCATCACAAAGATTCCTTTAAGAAGCTTTAAAAACGTGGAACCGCGCGCTCAAAATTCATAACAGCTGAAAGAATTTATAAAATAATATGCCTGTTGTTTATGTACAGAATTGTTATTCCCAATACAACTGCCTTCCTTTGTTTCAAACTACATTGTATATTATATTTGTGAAAGTTCCTCACTTTGGTTGCCTAAAAACGTCCGCACAGCTAAACTTTCAAATTTGAACAAATTAATGGTTGTTCAGAATCATTTAAAGGGTGCACTGATATAATATTGAGGGGTCTGAAGTCACTGTTGTTTAATTTTCAGTTTTTCATTAGTTTCGTTTATATCTAATCTTGGGAAAGTCAGTCTTCTAAGACGCCATTGTAAACAAGTGAGGCTTCCGTTCACAAGCGGTGCGCACTGGTTCCACAATGACTTGACGATGGATTCTTTGTGAGTCCGTTCATGGAACGTGTCCCCGGCTAACAGAGTAATATTCAGAACTTGGGAAAAATAACATTGTTTACTGATCTGATGTAAATGCTGCTTAGTTGAAATCTTTGGAAATGTTTGCTCTTTCATAGATTCTATTTTTTATGCTATTCATCGTTTGCCTAACGTTTTCCTACTATCAAGACGTTCAGATGTGAATTTTTGTATTTTTGTTTGCAGGTGCTCCCCCCCACCCCCCACTCCCCA